GTTTCAATCAGGTGCATAGATAATAAACAAATCACAGCAAAGTAGCAGGCATGCCCCTCTCTGCTTCTGCCCCCACCCCTCTGCTCACAGCTGCCTTGGCCTCCCTGCTCTTCGCACGCATATCCTCAGGGAAGGTTCTTTCTCCAGGCGCTCACCTGTGGCTCATTCCCTTATCTCGGGTCCTGAGATTCACTCAGCCCCTCCCCTCAACACTGGTGAAATTTGTCCCCATCTCCACCCTGGCCAGCCCTGTTCACCTTCCCATCTGACAGATGTATTCTGTGACATCATTTGTCTATTGTCACCGCTTATCTGACAATGCTGTGTTTTCTTTCTCTGTCTTTCATCCCTGCCCTCCTTTACTGGTGCCCCTTCGGATCACAAGCTCTGTGGGGCAGGGACAGGGGCTTTGTCTGTCTGGCTCACTGTGGGGCCCTCATGCCTGGAACAGTGCCTGGAACATGCTGGGTGGAGGAATGAATGAGGGAGCAGAGCATAGAGCTGTGTGATCAGAGCGTGCCTGGGAGATGAGGTGGCCTCCCAGAGGAAGAGGTTAGCTTCTGGGAGCTTGCTTTCATCACAGGTAACCCTCACCCCTTAACTTACACTTGTATCTGCCCCCAGGACTCCAGGAATTTGTCCTCTAACTGAGGAGCTCTGCCTCAATTAAAGTACCAGTTGCTGGTACTTTACTTCCCTCCCATTCCTTTGTTCTAAGTTTGCTGGAATAATTTCCTTTCTCAGTTTGAGCCTGACCTTAACAGTTAGAGGGTAGAGAAAATAGTTTACAGTTGACTCTGGAACAACGTGGGGTTGGGGGGCATGGGGGTCACCTCCTGTGCAGTTGAAAATCTGTGCATGTCTTGTAGTCCTAGAGACCAGGGAGGCAGAGGCGAGAGGATTGCTTGTGCCCAGGACTTTGAGGCCGGCTTGGGCAACACAGCAAGACCCTGTTTCTTAAAGAAAAAAAGAGAAAATAATGTATATAGCTTTTGACTGCCCCAAAACTTAACTAATAATAGCCTACTGTAGACTGGAAGCCTTACTGATATAAAATAGCCAATCAACACATACTGTGTATGTTGTTTGTATTATGTACTGTATTCTTACAATAAAGCTAGAGAAAAGAAAACGTTGTTAAAATCAGAAGGAAGAGAAAATATATTTATTATTCATTAAGTGGAAATGGACCACCGTAGAAGTCTTCATGCTCTTAGTCTTCACGTTGAGTAGATAGAGGAGGAAGAGGAGGGTTTGGTCATGCTGTCTCGCGTGGCATAGGTAGAAGATTTGAGTGTAAGTGGACCTTCACAGTTCAAACATACGTTGTTCAAGAGTCAACCATAGAAGTATATTTTATAAAATTTTATAAGTGTATACATTTGTGTATAAATATATAAACATATAAATCTATATTTTAAGTAGATGAAGATTCTTTTGCATACATTTAAATGGATTTGTGTAGGACTTGGCATCTCTTTGGAGGAAGGAACGATTATTGTTGCTCTTGACATTCAAAAGCAAGGCCAGGGTGAGACAAAGATCTTCAGAGAGCCTGATGCTGGCTCAGGGTGGATGTGAGGAGAGAATGGAGAGGGATCAGCCCTCCCTTTGTAGGTTAGAATTACTGAGAGGAATTGTTCAGTTAGGATGAAATAAGTATTTTACTTCCAGAACTGCAGTCAGCGTGGTGGGACCGTATATTTACACCAAACTTCTAAATGAATCATAAAACTGACAGGAGTCCCAGGAGGGTTAGATGCTGGTAGATTAAACTGGAAGCAGAGAACAATGGCACCTCGTGATACAAGGTTCAAAGGTGGTGGAGGAAATATTTATTGGAAAATGAGAATGGGTTCTTTTTGCAAAAGCCAGTACAAACAGGCTAAGCTTTGCTCTGGGGTGAGGGTAATATTTTTTCTATCCTGAGCCTCACTTTTTGTTGTTCACCCCTGGAGTTTTGTAAATGGATGTGTGACCTCCTGAAAACGGCAAGGACAGTTCATGGGTTGTGTGTCTGAGCAGCAGCAGTTGTCGCAGGTGTGTGTGTATCCCCTCGGCCTCAGGGGTCTGTGAGACAGCATCTCCGTGCTTTTTTTCCTCTGGAGCCACCACTCCCTTCTCTCTGAAGCTCTAGACTGTTTTCAGCTCCCTAGTGGACATCTCCAGTATGAGTTTTTCCTAACACTGTAGACTCTGTCCAGAAGAAGCTCATTGCCCCTTGCGCCACCCTGCACCTTCTCTGTCTCCTATTTGTGTAACGGTCCCTGAGTCCTTTCAGTCCCCAAGGCTGACAATGGTGTTACCCTTAACCCTCTTCTCCCTTCTTCAGCTGCTTGCACAGTGCTGTAGGTTCGGCTTTTGCAGGCTTTGGACATTTCTTTCTCACTGATACCTGATAGAACGTGAATGAACCTTGAAAATCTGCTAAGTAACAGAAGTCAGACATACTGTTTGATTCCATTGATAAGAAATATCCAGAGTAGATGAATTCATATAGACGGAAAACAGATTCGTGGTTTCCAGGGGCTGGGCAGAGGGGAGAAGTGGAACCAACTGCGTAATGGGCAGGCGGTTTCCTTTTGGGGTGATGAAAATGTTTTAGAACGAGATAGATGTGGTGGCTGCACAACCCGTGAATGTACTAAATGCCACTGAGTTGTGCCCTTGAAAATGGCGTGTTTTCTGTTACGTGAATTTTAACCTCAGCGCTTTGGGAGGCTGAGGTGGGTGGATCACCTGAGGTCAGGAGTTCGAGACCAGCCTGGCTAACATGATGAAATCCTGTTTCTACTAAAAATACAAAAATTAACCAGGCGTGGTGGCACGCACCTGTAATCCCAGCTACTTGGGAGGCTGAGGCAGGAGAATCACTTGAACCCAGCAGGCCGAGGTTGCAGTGAGCCGAGATCATGCCATTGCACTCCAACTTGGGCAATAAGAGCGAAAGTCCATCTCAAAAAAAAAAACAAAAAAGATTTTTCTTTCTCCAGCCTATCCATACTTTTACCAGTCCCCCACCTCAGATGAGTATTTGAGAGCTGACAGTGTAGGCTGACCACGCACGTTGAATGTATACACGATTTCTAGTCCTTTCCTTTTCTCGCTGCATGCCAAAATTCTGACCATCTCACTCTGCTTAGACAGACAGACCTGCCTTGGCTTGTCTAACTCTTTCGCATGACACAGCAGCCTATTACCCTCTGACCCATCCCTGGCGCGCTGTTGGGTTTGCCACTCCAGGGCTGTGGACGTTG